TACTGGTATGTCCTGTATTTTGAATGAGTTACCGACACCAATTTCATTTAAAGTGTCAATCTACACCTTCACACCTTCATATAATGTCGTAAGGTATTGTTATTGACATAATTAGATATGTCTGTATCTTCTGCAACTCATAGATTTCTCTCTCTCTCTCTCTCTTTCTCTCTCTCTCTCTCTCTCTCTCTCTCTCTCTCTCTCTCTCTCTCTGTGTGTGTGTGTGTGTGTGTGTGTGTGTGTAATACTGTAGCTACCAAGTTGTATTTTGACATTGGAGGATACAAGGAAAAATGACATAGTTACTGTAGGTGCACAGGGAATAGGTGTAGTCTGTCTGTGACTTTGTTGATTTTGCATGCAAATGCGTTCGCGCGCTCGAGAGAGGGTTTATTTAACGTTAGATTGTGGTATTAAGCTAAAACGTAATTTCTTTGACTTTGTAAAAAAAGATGTCTTTTTTTAATGTGGTAGGAAACATGTTTTTAGAATGTGGCGTCAACTTATAATGACCAGTTCGAAAGTAAGTTAGAAATAACAAGGTTTTGCAAATTATACCCTGTTGACTTTGACTTGCTGAATCAACCCTACCAAGAGACGTTCATTAAAAACCTTTCAACGATATTCTTTAGTGAGATAAATGGTGATTTTATGGCCCACTGTACGTGAGTATTGACAGTGGTCAACGGCTTGTCACATCTAGCACATTTCCATCAATTCTGTGGTTGTCGTCACAACCATTTTGAGACAGCCAAGACGTCAAAATATATCTCGTATGAAAGTTGTTTTTACGTATGGACCGAGCCCCCTATGCTAAAATATCTTTTCCGGGGGAAATAAAATACAATCACTTAAAATTTCATTTCTTTTATAAGATAAAATATAATGTTATTTGAGTGTTGTAAGTCGAATAATCGTGTGATATATGATATTAACTTATCAGTGTAATGATTGACGTGTGTTTATATAACTGTCAATTTCAGGTGTAGATAAGGTGAGCTGAAAACTTGGTTTTAATCTCTTTTTTAAACAGCTCTCAGAAGTTCATCATTTTTCTCCAATAACAAAGCTTAAGCTAAGTTATTTTCACCTCACCTGTCATAAAATAGACCGCACTACATGTAGTGTGTTTCACCAGCTAGTGATAATATACATATTTTAAACTACGCAAATAAAGTGTTCCTTTGTATTTTTCCGCTCAAATTTATACTTCTGAGGGCCGTGGCTCTCTTCGACAGCTTTAGTTATCATCTGAGTGTTAATTAAAAAAACTGCATGCTTAAAAGTTAACATTTTGAATAAAATGCGTGCTCTATCAGGGAGCCAGTGCAACTGTTTTAATATAGGTATGATATGAGTCTCCCTAGGTTAAAAGGCGCGATGAATTTTTTTTGATTCATTAATCGCATGGTACCAAATCGCCATTCGATTGGTGTATTTGCTAACAGTAGAGAATGCGCGCGCACACACACACACACACACACACACACACATGCATTCATGAAAGAATATGAACAAAGATGAGAAAGTTGCATCAAAATATATTTTATTGTACAGAAAAAAACATTAAAGCATCGTATATTCATAAATTATTCGCTGTTTATTTTATGTTCATAAAATTATAAATCTCAAAGAAAGAACCGAGTTTCCCATTACAGCATTTCTGTTTACCTCCAGATGGCGCTATCGTAAGGTCTAGTTGGTCAGACAGCAAAAACTGCTCAGATATTAAAATCAATGAACCATATTGAGTCATATGACGATAGCCAGTGTCGTTTCAATAATGTCGTTTCAATTTGGGGTTGATAAGGATCTCAGGTTAATTTTCGTCTGGCATTTTTTTTAAATATACTGAACACAAATTCCTCCAATGTATTTTTAATGATGTAAAGCACAAATGAAGTTCCATCTGTAAAATATTGGTGAGAGTTGAAAAGGAAAGGCGGCCACTTAAACCTGCCACCTCCCCCTACCATGAATGTAATGGGATGGACAGCCTGGAAGGAGACGTCACTTCCTCAGTGCTGAGTGGTCAGGATGTGAATCGAAGGCAGCCAAGATATTGAGTATACGAATATCGTAATTTCAGCCAAATTAATATAAAGGTTTAAGAAATCAATGTTAGGTATTTGGTGATAAATTAATTGTGAATTATTTTTGAAAAGCTTAAGAGTGGTTTTGATCATTTCACAAAATTTCCCCCACGTACCATTTATTTTCTGCTTCACTTCGTCTCATCACGTCTCATAAAACAAAGGAAGACGCAGTTGCACTTCATGTTCAGTATTTTGAAATTCGTCGGTAGAAATGGTAGTGGCAGTGGAAGTTTACGCGAGAAATGGCCAAGGAGGGGAAAATGCTGTGAAATGACTTGTGAGGGTCTGTCTATTGACATGTTGATATTTACACGAACATGTACCCGGTAGTGAGCGGTTGGTAGTAGAATTATAAAATTTGATATAGGTATAGTAACAAATGTTCATTTCCGAAGTAAAGAACATAATTCAAGTATTAAGGGGTTATGGCAGTGTACAGTAATACTTCAATTTCGAATATTGACAAGATTTCTTAAATTAATATATAATATTTCATTTTATTAAAATGTGTGAGCTAAATTAAAGTTGTATTAATTTCTGCGTGACATATTATAATATCAACCTTTCAAGACATAAGGGGCGAAAAATGCTCGAAATGCTGTTTGCAACGGATTTGAAAAGGCTTTGTCCAAAGGTGTCTTTTACGTGTTTTATTATTATTTTTTTCAATATAGCATCACGAATTTGAGGTCTTTTACGAATAAATTGTAACATATTCAAAACATAATGATATTTCAGAATGCATGGTCATCAGTTTAAAACTTGCTTTATTGAAATATGTTCTTTACTACTGAAATATGTTCTTTATTGAAATATGTTCTATACTATCGTAGTGTCAAGTTTGTCACACGTGACATGTAAAATTGTGGTATTCTTCAGCAAGACAGCAGGGGTGACTTTCTAGTTTAGATGGGAATTAAGTACGCAAAAATACAAATTTTATGTCGGTTTAAAGTAAAATATTTTTCTATAATATCACCTAATTATCGAAATTGTTGATAAATTCTACTAGTCCGGTGTCGAATTCTTAATTTCTCTTTTTGTTGGCGTGAGTATATTCTTCAGTCTCATTCTCAAAATTGACTGAAATCTAGAATGTATCGACTGACGCTCATTGCATGTCTTTCTTTTAATGTACAGATGAGAAAAAAAGGATTATCGTCTCTTGAAATTTGCTGTCTTGTTGAGTAAGAGAAGTCATTTTACGAATCAAGATCGATTATTTTGTGTCACAAGTGAAGTATGTAAAATTAAGAAATTTCCATTTGGGAAAAATTTCCATTTGAGAAATATCCCTTCTTGAAAAGCCGATTTCGTACATGTAAATACCCTTCATATGATGGAAAAGAAACTACTTTCGTGTTTTACTTATCTCTGAACGTAGTTCTTACATATGACACGTTTTATCATGAAAAATAACTGATATTTTTGCCATTAATCTGTTGAACAAATACAGAGTCTGGGTAAAGATGATGGGACCATTTATGTGAATGAAAATTGTTTTATTTTCCAAATTTAACTTTTTTCGGCAATTCTCCTTAACCAGCATCTTTCCTTCTATTGACCAGATGATGCATAAATTAGGGATATTTTCTCGTATTTAGAACATTTTATGTTCAGAAGGTTGCAAAACATTTCTTACGAGATTTTTCAAATTATTTATTGATGTAGGAATTATGAGAAATATCGTGCTATGTTCCTTGGATTTTAACCCAGTCTTCATAAGTGAACATGTACATGTAGTTTGTTTTCTAAATAGTTTTTGTAGGAATTTTTTCAATTTCACATTCCTTTAACAATCTAATGTTTATTATTCTCTCAACAGCTGGGTAAACGCTGAATATATTTTTACGTAGGGCTTTTAACATGTTATTTGCCAAACACGACGAAAGTGTTGATTTTTTTTTTTTTTTTTTTTGAGTCATTAAGATCAAATAAACATAAGGCCATTAGTGTGGTAGATAGTTTATTTGTCAAGTCGAATAGATAAGAATGTTATATTTGTTACACCTTTCAGTGAGTTTAAATACAGATATCAATAATAATATTTCAGATACTCGAACCCTTTTAAACATGTAGTAATAAATAGACTTATGACAATGATGTTTTACAGATATATGTCTTATAAATAATTGAATACATAAAAGCAATCTGCATTTCTCTGAATAAAAATACTTATTAAATATACAAAATGTCTTAGCGTTTTTACTGAATGGCTACGTGGCTCAGTGGTAGCCTGGGGTTGGGGTTCTATTCCTGGTTCTGGCACTTTGGAATTACAAAGGGGTGCTATCAAAATTTTTCTTCGGTTACTATAAGAAGAAAGTCTACCCGAGGAGGGTGGGTGGGAACACTTGGAGAAGTAGGTAACGCGCTTGCCTCTGAGACAGAAGGTCGCCAGTTCGATTCCTGGCGCTTCTAGGTCCCAGCAAATTACCTTTTGCAAAAATAAACCCAAATAAACAACTTAAGCTACTACAAGGGATGATGAGAATGAGAAAAAAGCAAGTTGAGTCTTTGGCTCAATAGGTAAGGCGACAGACCAAGGAGCAGAAAAAAAGACTAACAAGATGTTAACCAAAGGTTCGAGTCGAGCTGAAGAAAAGAAAAGTCAGGAATGAGCCCGTGACATTTTGCACAGTTTACAACATTTATGTATGTTTATTATAACATATACAAGCAATTGCACCATACAGATGTTGGCAAAATCCGAACATAAAAGTTTTGGCTCTACATAAAAAAAGTAATTTTCATAACGACAGCACAATTTGAGATGTAAATCAATCTTAAATACAATTATCTACAACTAAATGTGTGGGAGATTCTATGCAGTTTGAAGTGTCGCTCAAGATCAATCGTTTTGGTTTTAAAAAAGAACATAAAATTTGTTGTTTTTTTTGCCCAGAGTTAAAAGAGAAAGTTGAAGATTCGACGTGATGTATTTAACAGCCATCGTTCAAAGTTGACATTGGAGTATTTGTCTTGTGACTGATCCAAAATTTTACCAACGGACATTTTTATCCATAATTCAAAGGTGGCAACAGTATCGAAATTCAAACTGCATATGATCTCATGTAAGCGTTCCCCCCGCACGCGGGTACACACTCATGACACCGCAACTTACTCTATGTCGCCATGCTGATGATCACAAAAAACAAACACCAGTCAAACATTATTCAATTCTGTAAATTTGAGAGTTTTTTTCATAGATAAATAAATATGTACCTGATAATGTGCGTCATTTTTTCTTCTCTTAAAATAATATTTTTGGTGACACAATTTTGAGTGAACACTTAAATTTATGCGTCGTGCGAATCGAGACCAGCATGAAAACATGGTCAGTTTGCAACCTTATCCCAGTCATAGTCATTTTTAACAACAATATGTAAACAAAATTGAAAAGGTTCTACGAAAACTAGTTTACTTAAAATAACTAAGCACATTTACTCAGAAAATGCTAAAAAAACTCAACGGTCTCCGGTGTTCAGTGATCAAGAAACACTCAGCAAATATAGCCCAACAGCACTGCAAGACTGGCACCTAATCAGGCCTTTTATTCTTAATCTCCCCTTGATCCCGACCAAAATAAAGAGAAAGTACCAAGTACAATATCAATATTAAATAAAACACTGACCTTCAAATTTTGTGTAAATCTTTTACTTTAACCAATCAAAGTTTCATTTTTCTGAATTTTTTAGAATTTTTATTTTTGACATTTGATTAGACAAAAAAATTCACAAAAGAAAAAGTAAATTGGCAACTAACAGAAAATTCCGTGTTTTAGAGGATTCACAAAGTTCGTTTAATTACTAGGTAATCCCTATTACCCCCAAAACAGAGCTTTGCGGCAACTGTAGTTTTTGATACAGGTTTGATACGGATTTTTAAATTTTCAAGTTGTAAAAGATGCGATAAATGCCAGTCCTACATATATATTTTAATTGACAAAAGACGCAAAAGGAAACAATTTCTACTATTCACAGTTTCTCTTTGAGAGTATATCCGCCTTGTAATGAAGGTAAAAAGTTAATTTTCCTTCTTAAACAAGAAAAACTTTCGAAAAAAAAAAAACTAAACCAACCCCTGGTTTGATTTTCTGAAAAGACAAACATTTCTACCCCATCCCAGCAATAAAACTATGGGTCTATCACTGACACACTACTAGTATATCAAAACACCGGGAACCAGAGGAAGTTGATTCTTACCATGCATCATAACCGTATTTTCACAATTTTAAAAAGACCCGTTTCAATACGTGTGGGCAATTCTGTAATAACTTGAGTACATTTTACGATTTCATTTTGCCGTTAATTCTTAAGTGTCATATTTGGATTGCAGCGTTTACAGTTTATTGTAGATTTACATCTCGTTCATTTTTTTTCCAATGAACCCACAATAAAACTCGGGCATTTTACGTAATGGAGTCACGACTTATTTTTTCTAAAGTTAGCTTCATTAAAATCAATGCATTTTCGATTGCATAACAAAGCGTCTTATTACATATTTGCCCACACATATAATTTTACAACCAAACATTAAACCGGTCGCACTAGCACAGTGCTCTATCTGCACATCACTTAATGATAATTTTGCAATTAATTTTATTTTCATAGATCACTTAAGCAAGGGATTTTTTGTTTTAGGATAACTTCAAAAGTGTTGTTTCAGATTCGATTATTGGTGGGTATAAACAAAAAATATAAATTACAATAAAAACATCGTGTGCTGATAGAGTGCTGTATTACAGCTTATTTACACATGAATAGTAATATACCAGAAACGTGCAGGGTTGACGCTTGGATTTAGTCCATTTTATTAGAAGTTTCACGAATAAACCACTCGTTACACGCTACACTTCATCTGATACACGTTTTGATGCAGAATATTACAACCCAAACCAAACATTACATTTCAAATCAAATGTCAACCCTGCAAGTTGACTATACGACAAACACAAGACAAAGTTGACATGGGTGCGGGCGCTGGCGAACACGAATCTGATGTCTTTGCTGGGAGTGCGTCCAATTTCATCGTAAGACGGTTGTTACGAGACACTGAAAGTAAATGAAAAATGAAATAAATTATACGAAATCCACATGCAAGAAACCATATCTTATATTTTTTAAAGTGAAATATAATCTTTACACCGATCCATTACAGTTTGCATTAAGAGACATAAATCATATTATAAGAATAGCTCTATGCTAGGTAAATTGAACCTACACGTTCTATACAATGACACACTTTATAACGACATTATTACTATTGCATGCCCTGTACACACTTTTACAAGTCAACATACTAATCTTAATGTTTTTTCTATCTCTGCTAAGCCATGTCCTTCCACGAAGAGTATTTTCATGGAGACTGCATATTTACCCACATAGATAATTTTAGCATAAAAACAGAAAACAGGCCATACAATCACGCTGCTCTGCATACCAACTGTTACAAAAGATACCAGTGTTTGGACTTTATATATTTGCGGAATTAAAAGTAGATAAATGTAAACATTTGACAGAAAGCTTAGTTTTGATAATGATAATTCTGGATTTTGTAAATGCCGGGTCGGGGGTTACAATGCAGTCTCAAATTGTCTCGGTTCTGTAGGATAACATAAAACACTGGTCAATGACAAAATAATAATTTTACCAATTACTTTATTCCAATTCACCCACTTAAATAATTTCGTAATCCGAACGCTAGCATTTTAGCTCAATTTCTTTTAAAATCAGATACTTTGTTCAAGCATCTTATTTCAGATTGTATTATCAAGGATGGTATGAAATTCAAATCATGAAAATTGAAGTCAACCAAGGAGTCTGTTATAACTCCTTGAGTCAACGGAGGTCGACAGTGCCTAGCAAATATACGTTTTCTTTCCTGGTCGCGGCTAGTTCTGTAGAAAACCAGTTTTTTTGTCAGTTAACTATAATAAACAGGATATATTTGTACATGCCACTATCGTAAGATGAAAAAGGCACCCATTGGGAGCTGAGAATGTACCGGTAGTTACCTAGCTGCTTTGTCGTCTTGCTTTGTTTAAGACGGAATAACAAGTTCAGACCTTTGGACGGCTGGAATAATCTTCTCACTTCCCTATGAGCAAATGCTTTCCTTCTGGAAAAACCAACATAAGAAGTTATTTAACTTTTCAAGCTCATTTCGGCATTCATGTCAATAAAATATATCCGAGATTCATTACGACTGAAGTGGGATATGTAAACTTTTTGATAAAATATCGTCATTATAAAACGATCAGTGTTGCCTTATAACATCTACATGTATACAGTACTTACAACAAACTACATCAGTGCCAAAATATCAGTCTACGCGTGGAAAGTGTGACAATGTGGCATGTGAGGCTTCTTCCTCTTCCTATTGACCTTGGTCCTATCTGAATACCTCTCACCAAAATGCTCACCTGGTTACATAATATAGTATCACTGTCGTGGGATTGTGTTAGAGAAGACACGATGCGTTTTTCCCTAGTCTAAAAACGTTATCATCAGGTTATTGTACAAACAAGCCTTTTTGTTTTGTCCATAGACCTTCATCCCAAATGAATGAGGTTATTATTATTATTAACGAAGCCCAATTAAACCATGTTGTCGCCTATTGCTCTAGCACTGTAAATATCTAACACTAGAGTTGTGGTGAATAAGGTTTGTACATGTATATCTAACATTTTATTTTTATGCAGCAGTACATACGGACCCAAATGTGCTCCATAAGAAAAAAAAATAAATCTCATAAGAGTTAGTTTACTGAGTTCTGCAAACGAGACCCGTTATGTGTTACATTGTTTTAGGATTAGTAGAACTACAAGGCCCAAAACTATAGACCTCATCAAACTTTGCACTCTGAACTTGATTGAGAATGATTATCAAAACGAAATCAATAGAATACCTAGGAGGCAGAATAATAGTGAGGAGTGGGGATAACCATGCAGAAAAAATAATAAATAAAAATAACGAAGGGGTGGGGGGTCCAAAACACCGAACCACACAACAAGGGGGCAAGGGTCACCTTCACATCGGAGACCTGTCATTCTAAAAAAAATGGACCCACCTCCAAATAATCCTGGATCCGCCCCTGATTGTGACACCAGTGAAGTGTATCACCATGTTTGTGTATCAAACTGTATGGATACCAAGTTTATATGCGGATTTCTCTTTTTTCATCATCCATTACAACATCCAGATATTTTTCTTTTTAAATAAATTTTATTACTTGAAGGTTCTCAGATAAAGCGCCTTCTCAAGTTCACTATACCCGTTTTGTTAAAAGCCGCTACTAACGCGTTTTGGAAAGTGCTAACTTTTAGGGGATTTCTGTTTTACCATAAATCTCCAAATCCCTTTTCAAATTAGAGCTTCATGATTTCAGCTTGTTTTTGCTTTGAATTGAAAGCGATTTCTTATATTTAATCCACCTACATGTATATGGATACACGTTTAAAAAAAGTCCTGTCATTCAATGACTTACACCAAAATTTCGTTATTTGCATTTTTACCTTTCTATATAAGGAGTTGTTCCAGTTTCTCCTCCAAATTCGTGGTTTGATATTTTAGAATGGAAACCCAAAAGTTGTTAACAGAAGTTCTCCAAAGAGTCTTTTCGGAAAAAAGTGTTTTTTTTTCTTTTAAGATGCATTACAAGCGAGAAAGTCGCTCTGTACATCCCGTGTAAGGCATACAAATTACTACTACTACCAGCTTCTTACACAACAGAAACAAAAGAACTCAAAATGAAATTTATCACTCTATCATCTGAAAAAAGCTTTAAAACTGCAACTTTATCATATTTCTGGCCGTAGACTTGATATATTATCCGTTCCTCCATTTCAGAGGACCTGTGCTATTTCTTTAAAGGAATAATAACTCTTCGTTTTGGCCATAAAATGAATTTTCCTGGAGTAAACAATTTTCCCATTCTAACCAATGGTTAATGAATCCATTTTTACATTCAAAGTTAGTCCGTTTTTTTCTAAAAAGTTTGTTTTTTAACAGAGTATAGCCATCAATGGAAGATACGTGGTCTAAAGACAAGCTCAGATATCAGAATAATAGCTATAACTGCCGTTTTTGTGGTAAAACATATTATATTTCTGAGTTGTTCACAATGTTTTTATTGAAAATATAGATCTCATACGAAGAGTTATTATCTCCTTAAGTTATACTTTTTCCTAACTATACATGGCGGCATTTGGTCAAGTTTATGGACAATAATTTGACAAGTCTAGTCGCTTAATATGCACCTTTGAGTTAATTTGTACCGCTGTAATTTTGTCAGGTCTGGTGAAAAGAATTTCTAATTAGTTATAAATATACGGTACGCAATATATACCGCCTATTTAAAACGTGTCTCTGTCCTGTACACTACAAGCTATGGTTTTCGCTTGACTGTTACTATACTTTCTTTTTATCATTTTATTTTTATTCATCTTAGTGTTGCCATTGTTATATCTACTAGTGCCTTAATTTAGGACTCATTCCCAATGAAACTATTGGTCTATGTAAGTCGATCCAACTCCACAGGGACTCTCGCTGAATGCTATCAGATTGGCACGCTTCCTCTTGTTTATAACGTACTTGTATAATGACCATATTTTCCGTTTTCTACTCAAAGCAAAGGGGGTGGTATGCTGGTCTCGCGCTCTAATTGCATTCAGTGAGCCGCCCCCCACCCCACCCCCACCCCCCCACCCCATTTTGATCTACTGTATCTGGACAGATAAAGCGCATTCAGAACAGCGGACTAACAGATCCACGGATCAAATATGGCTGACCCACTTGGATGCTTGTTGCATAATCCCCAGGGGCTCTGTTCAGTGTGTAAGCTTGTTAGTGGGTCGTCATATTTGATTTGCAGATCTGTTTGTTCTCTGTTCTGAATGTGCTCTTATTTTCATTGGGATTGAGCTCTTAGACCTTAATATTCTTATGCACTCATATAAATAAAGCTACAACAACAAATAATAATAATAATAAGATTAATATTTATTCATAATTAAATGTTGGTTGATACACTTATAATGTTGAAATGATTATTCTAAGAAAAAAAGGTGAAAGACATTTTCAAAATTTTAAGTAATAAAATCATATAATTACCTGAAATAATACAAGTATGATAAATAATGACAATAACTGCATTGTAGACTTTCAATATAATTTTCAAAGACATAAAAACTGTATTTATAAACATTTGCACAGTGCTTTTTATTTACAATTGTGCATTAAAAATTTAAATTTATATGTACCTTGTAATATTTCATAAGTAAACAAAAGCCTGAAATTCACTGCAAAGAGACTGTAGTTTGCCACTTTTAAAATGTTCTCTCTCTCTTATCACTGTATATCATGTCCACAGTGAGTTCAGTGATTTCTATGAGACTGATACATATACAGACATATACAACCATGATCTCCACTGCACTGATGAATAGAATAGTCACATCATATTACCTGGTTGGGGTTATGTGCATAAATGAAATATCTTAAATATTACAGTAAGTGTAAATGTAACTCTCAAGTGGTGAAAAACTGGAAAAATTTTTATATATCAAGTATTCTTCATCAGTTTTGTATACATACCCATTGTTAACTTAAGTTTTACCACCTACCCATGCCAGCGCATTCAGAACAGTGGACTAACAGATCCACGCATCAAATATGGCATAATCCCCACAGGGAATCCATTCAATGTCTAACCAGGAATTAAGTGGCAAGCTTGTTAGTGGGTTGCCATATTTGATCCATGGATCTGTTAGTTCACTGTTCTGAATGTGCTCAATGAGGCATGAGAGAGAAAATATAACAACAGCTATTAGAGTCTGAAGTTTTATAACTGCTTAATTTCTCTTTCTCATCTTTCTTTATCAATGCCTCTCTACAACTCCAACCCAGTTTCTCTTAAATTAAATTCTTTTAGGCCACCACAAGTCAAACCACTAATTGCTTTATCAGGTATTAGTTTATTACTACTTAAGGCAAACTCAATAAAAAACTTTGGACATTTAAGATGAGAAAATGCCTCGTCTTTTAATTCAATTTAAAAAGAAATAACAAAAAATTAAAATGTAAGCAACAAAAGTAAGTACTCATCTTTTTATAAAGACTACAATGAGATCATAACAGTAGTGTACAAACTAGTATAAAAGCTTCAGTATACTTACTGCAAAATGTTCTTTTATTCTTTCTTCAAAGAAATAATAATAATAAAATGATATTCTGCATATTACTCACAAAAATTTACTGCAGACATCTTTTATACTTAATTATCTTTGGGCAAACCATAAGACNTGAGTGGGGTTGATACAACATTGTTTTCTGACGTTGATACAACGTTGTTATCTGACAATGATCCAACTTTCAAATCCAACGTCTTGTCAACGTTGAAGTTATAAGTTGTTTCAATATTAAAAAGACATAATTTGCCTGCTGGGCAGCTGCATCTCCATAGTCAGAAGGTTCAATGATTCAAAGATATGATAGTTATGTTCCAAATATTTGGCATACATAAAGGTAGATTCTTTTGGGGCCCACCTGACGGACAAGGTGTGACAAGAGGCAAGAAGGACCAATGCAACAATGGCTATAATACCAGGAGGATGCACTTCTAAGGCATAGAAGCTTGATGTCTGTCTCAACAAACCTTTCAAGGACCAACTACGAAAGCTATGTACTGACTTCATGAGGGGGGTGGTGGACAGGACTGACGAGAGACTTGGCTAAATCCTCACAGCATCGAAGGCCACGGTGGTGCAAGGGATTGTCACTGCATGGTCTGAGATGCCGGTGGAGATGGTGGCGAAGTCCTTCCATGTGACTGGCATTACCGGACAGACAAAGACAGCTGGACCTGTAGACATCCCAGACATATTTGACAGCGACGACAACAACAACGGTGAGGACTTTCTACGATTTCACACAGCAGATTGACTGGATGAACCCATGTGCTTAACAATGACACTATATTAAACTAAGATTTAAATGAGATAATATCATAATATAATATCTTATTATAAAATCTAACAGACTAGCACCTTACGGCTCAAATGACATTTTGAAATGAGGTGCCTAGGCATTTAAGAGATGGAAGTTGCTTAAATTCAGAAATGTACAGGTAGTTAATGTGGTGAAGTAGCAATAGAGTGATTGAAACCTTGGCTTTATATGATATTTTGCAATAACACAATATTGACTAAAACATAGTTTTTATTGATTTCGTAACGTAACATGCCCTCCTTTGTCTATTGCTACCTCTTATCCTGGAACTTGTGAAAGCTAGATAAACCACAACAAAAACTAATGGAAACATTAGTTGCAAGCTTAAGTGCTTATCCATGAGAAAACCATCCCAAATGCAGAAAATGCGACAAGGTGGGGG